CATGCGCGAATGTGGCTGCGATTGAAACGTTGGTAGAGTGACACTCTAATTGACGCTTGTAGTAGAAAAACCCAATGTCTACTTTTATGATACTACAAAGCTCACACTTTACTTCAATTATGTTACCAAAATATGCCCATTTTTTATGAACAGGCTCTGAAAAATCTTCCATAAGTCGTTGGTTTACGCGTTTCAGCTTCTCAGCTCCGATGATAAAGCTCTCCGTTCATTACAAGGGTAGCTTTTTGATAAAATTCTGCGACAAATATGATGAACGTAGTGATGAGACTTTTATTTTTATCAACATTCATGACCTCCAGTGGGGTCTTCCTTTCATGTATTAAATGTTAGTCGTCCATTACACAAGGTTTTGATTTTTTGTTTAATTTGTTTATGTTCACAGCTCTCCCTGGATTAGGATGGGCAGCGTTCTGGGGTTGAAAATTACCTAAGCTTCAATTTTCAATATGTTTTACTTCCTATACTTCCTATTTGTACATTCCTTTTCTTGTAAATAAACCTATTTCTATGATTTTTAATATTTTTTCGACTCGTTTTTATTATGCATCTCTGAGGCAGAGGTAACGATTTCTAAATAGTACTACAAATGAAGTGAGCTAGTGAGAACTTGGACCCAATGTGAATATTGATCATATTGCTTGAAAATCCTCTCAGAGAGTACATTTACACAGAAAAAGAATCGAGCATCAGGGCTAACATGTGTCCAGTGGCGTGGCGTGCTTTGCCATCTATCGATTGTTATGCCATTTAAACCTATGGTAAAGAGTCGATTACCAGGGTGTTCGCTGCGAACACCCTGGTAATCGACTCTTTACCATAGCTTCAAATGGCGAGATATCGATAATCGATCATTCACGCCACGCCACTGCATATCGATGGTGAAACTACCAAACCACGTATCTCGGTTTGCGACGTCGCGTCGCAGACTTCCTGTCATACTTTATTTTTTAAATGAAAAACTACTTAACGTCCAGTCTTGAAAATTTCTGTGATTTTTCCTTTTCGTGCGGAGAAAATTCTGTGAAAATTTCAAGGAATGATATTGATTTCGTCTCCTTCAAAAAAATAAAATGTGAACGTAGATTTTTAAACACCGCAAACGAGATACGTGGTTTGGTAGTTTCACCGTCGATATGTGCCCTCATGTTCAAGTTTGAATTTTAATTGCCCTCATGTAATTTTTCGATTTTCAACGCGACTTTTTGAAAAATCTGAAATCGCCACTGAAATCCCTCATTCCTTGAGACCCTTCAAGTTTTATGGTCAATTCAATATAAACGTTAACTTCAAAACAGTGCTGTAGTGCAACGTAATAATATGCGCATTAATTTCTTCTTCTTTTTCTTTATCGGAGGTGAGTGATATTGTAAATATATACTTCTTTCTACTGACAGCGCCACTTAAAAATTATACAATTCCGGTCCAAAAGTGAAAAAAGGAGTTAATTAAATTTTTACAACTTAAATATGCGATTTCGTTGTGAATTTCAATGGTAATATGCGAGTGAGATGAATTCCGTCTCTAAGACCTCCCTAATGTATTTTGCACATGCACAGTAGTTGCGGTATTCCCGCATGCACTAGCTAAAACGGAGATCTTGGTCCGAAGTTCACAGAGCAGTGTTGACAGATTTCACATTGCAGTCGTTCCTTGGACAGCTCATTTCATCGGGAAGTCCCATGAAGTTTACATCATGATTTATGCAGGTTTGAGGACGCGCATTTAACGTAGTGCCATGGGGAAAAAACCCATTTTGACGAAACTTGAATAAAATTCAACAGTTGAAACTCGGAAATAGATCCCTAAAAGAGAAGAAATTCTAATAATTCGCTACAACAAAAAATGCATTATACAGAGAAAAATATCATACAGAATTCACATATTTTGAACTCGCGTTGCTCGGCAAAATTAAGTCCTAAATTAAGGTTTGTCATAATTTCAGAATTTTTTCGTATTTTTTACATTGACGTTTCACTGAGATCTCTTGAAAGGATCTAATTCTTAAGTTGAAATTTCGTAACTGTTGTCTTAAAATTCACTTATTTATGATGATGCTGCGTTGAATAAGGCGTCCTTAAACAGGCTCCGATCACAAAGTAAAGCAAATGGGTCCTCCTCAGAAAAGCAGCTTATTCAGGGACGACAATGCTTACGTTACCGTGCTAAGGAAATACGCCGTAAGAACATTCGAGAGTTGTCAAAATGTCCTCCGATAAAATTTTCATTTTGGAAGAAAGTTGGGCATATTTTAAGTTAAATTCCGAACAAAATTTTTCAAAAAATTTGAGGAAAAATATTCACGATTTCCAAGGTAATTTCGTGTTTTATTGAAGGAAATATAGCAACGTCTATATGCTGTAGTGCTAAGGAAGAACGCCGCATGAACATTCGAGATTTACCAAATCTCCTCGAATAAAATATGTACTTGTGAGGGAGTTTTTGCATAGTTTTCTCAGAAATTTTCAGATGTTTTAGATTAAATCGCGTACAAAATTGTCTAAAAAATTTGGAAAAAATGTTCACAACACTGGAAAAAACACATTGCATCTAGAGTCCAGACTCTTGAAAACATTGACAAGAAAAAATACTCTTGATTCAATCAGATTTATGCTTAAATCAAAAAGAAATCCGCTCAAATTAAGAGGCTTGGTTCTTGATTTAAGAAAAAATCCGATTGAATCAAGAGTATTTTTTCTTGTCGATGTTTTTACGAGTCTGGACTCTAGATCCAATGTGCTCTTTTTTCCAGTGAAATTTCCCGGTAAATTTGACTTATATTGAAGGAAATATGGCAACGTCTAAAGGTCTATACGACGTTTTTCTTTAGCGCGGCAGTACAGTCCTAAGTGGTGGAGACTCGAGAGTGGAAGTTTCCACCGATCACCAAGAGTCAAGAGCGAAGAGCCCAGAAGAGTGTCTCTATTTATACCACTGATGAGAACTGACCTGCGTCCTGTCTCCTGTGAGTCGGAGTTGAAGCGGCAACACCGGAATACGGGAAAATTAGGGGAATGCCCTGTATTATCCAAGAGTATCCCTGCTCCCGGGACGGATTGGGAGAGCGCCTCGCGGTTGCGGCGAGGAGTGAACACTGACCACTGCCAATCAGTGGATAACAATGGTGCACCGGCAAGCGGGAACCTGTACACTCCATACAATACTCACTTATACTCACCGGGTTCTGGAATCTGGAGACAGGTAGCGGTATTGAATTGACTCACGTGGTCTCAAGCCCTTGTTGCCGAAATCAAATTTAAAATAATAATAGATCAGGTTCTTCCAGAGACTTCATGGTTGTCAAGATTTTTTCAATGGGTTAATGGGCTTCCTGAGTATTTAGGACGGCAACTATCTCTCACCTAGTTTTGGCTAATTTTCAAAAAAAAATAAAAATTTGATGTTGAATGGGTCCGTTCACGAAGCAAGGTGCTCAGTGAAGCATTCTTCTCAGGTTGGCTAGAAAAATCGGATTTTGACTAATAATTTGAAGTGCGCGTTTCTTAAAATGAATCTTCATCGGAAACCTTATCGAGGAAACAACGCTAACAGAAGTCACATCCATTACGTCTAGAGGCTTATTTCAGCCTTTTCTCCCCAAATAATATGTTCTTTAAACCCAAAATAAATCTGAAAATATGCAAACGTGAATATTACGTTTGATTAGTCAAATCAAATGGGTTAGTTCCAAGTGTTTTAACCCAGGTCCCAAAGAAGATATGGTTTGGGAGTGATCAGCTGAAATGTGCTACTATATTGGTCCCTTTCCTGCACACAAAAAAGCTGCATACATAAAAACAGGATTTTAGCATTTGTTCGATATCTCATTGGCTTAGCTTTGCTATAAATTCACCTCAACCCCGGAGCGCACGGTACGCTCAGTTTATCTTCAATCTACGAATATTTTAATACCACTATTGCGCTTCCTGTGGACCCGCTCTTGCCTACCTCATGAGTTGAAGGCCGAACGCTTTTGCGTTTTAGTTGTATTAAAAGAAGGAGAAAAATTAGAGGTAAAATATGAAGACAAAGCAAAAGAAGTAGGAATATGAGGTAAAAGTAGGAGATGGAGGAAAAGAATAGGAAGACTAGAGGAAGAGGAAGAGGAGGAAAAAGTGGAAGAAGAAGAGGAAGAAGAAGAAGAAGAAGAAGAGGAAGAAGAAGAAGAAGAAGAAGAATAAGAAGAAGAAGAAGATGATGATGATGATGATGATGATGATGATGATGATGATGATGATGATGATGATGATGATGATGATGATGATGATGATGATGATGATGATGATGATGATGATGATGATGATGATGATGATGATGATGATGATGATGATGATGATGAAGAAGAAGAAGAAGAAGAAGAAGAAGAGGAAGAGGAAGAAGATGATGATGATGAAGAAGAAGAAAAGGAGGAAGAAGCAGAGGAGGACTTAGAAAAAGTAGAATAGATGGGGTAGAAGCACGGGAAGAAGAAGAAAAATAGGAAGAAAAAGAAGAAGACGAAACAAAATAAGTAGGGATAAGAAGTAAAAGAAGAAGGAGGAGGAGAAGAATAGGAAGAAGAGAAGGAGGAGGAAGAGGAGGAAGAGGAGGAGGAGGAGGAGGAAAAGGAAAAGGAGGAAAAGGAGGAAGAGGAAGAAGAGGAAGAAGAGGAAGGAGAAGAATAAGAGGAAGAAGAAGAGGAAGGAGAAGAGGAAGGAGAAGAGGAAGATGAAGAGGAAGAAGAAGAAGAAGCAGAAGAAGAGGAAGAGAAAGATGATGAACTTTCCCGTTGTCAAAAAGCGGGAATTATCAGAGCAAAATGATTTGAACAACAAATTGAGAAAAACATCGAAAAATGAGGAAAAAGTTCAGCAACTTGGAGACTCGGGAAGTCTGGAAGCACACGGCGACAACCGGGCCAGGTATTCCGGGGCTCCCGCGCCCGCCCGCAACCCGCGCCGCGGTCGACGGCTGATCGTGTTTTTGTTTAGTCTTCGGACCTCAGTTGATCCGATTCCTCGGGCCGAGCCGGTCCACGATCCGCGTTCCTACCGTTCTGTGTTTCTCAGGTGTCGAACTCCCTCTACTTTGTTTACGAAAGTGCATCCTCGCGTGTGTTTCTCCTCGTGTGCGTTTTCTGTGCTCGTCCATGGATTAACGACCAAGTGTGGATATTACCTCTTTTTGGAATTAAACTTGGATACAATCATTTGCTCCAGGTAAAATGACAAATTGTTTACATTTCGTCGTTCCCCCATGAAAGAACGTAACTACATTTCAATGTTGCCAAATTTTCCCTCATAAATTGCATATTTACCAGGAGAACCTTGGACACTTCCAACTGAATATCTCACGAATTTTCGTCTTGCAAAAATCAGAAATAATTGAGACACAAATTGCACTAGTATAATGTAAGTATATCCTAGGAAAATAATTGAATTCTTAGAGTACATTTTGCAACCCTCGAGTGAAATTACGTTCTTTCGTCCGGGAGACGACGATTTTTAATGGCTGTTTTTTAAAGTGAATCCCACAGGGAAAAGCTTTGTGCGTCGATACCGCTTCGATGTATTTATGATATGACTCAGTTTTCACTTATGTGGTTTCAAGATAAAATCTGTAAAAGTAGCTGATTTAATTTTAAAGGTAATTCCATATTTCTGAGTATCGCTTTAAACTTTAAACGGAGGGAATTGCAAGGAAATACGACTGAAAAACACAAAACTGTAGGAATAATTTCGCTTGCGGTATTCCCAAAATCCCTCTTGTATTCTGTCACAGGGCCGTCGATAGATTACGTCCGGTGTACTGAGTGCATGTGCCAAAAATTAGTGAAATTTAGGAGATTGATAAAAGTTACATCATCAATGAACAGCTCCTCTGTGAAATAGGATCTCCAGAAATTTTCACACGAAATTTTAAGAGATTACCTATTTCTACTTAATAGGAGGAAGATGGGTCGCACTGAAAATTTAAGCCATGACAGGGATCTGCCATTTCTTAAAAAAGTAAATTGTGCCAAGAAATCTTTGATGCTGCGCTGTGGACGAGAACACGTGACTCGATCGTATTTTCAACAGTGAACTGTTCAGCAACCGAGGAATCGCAGGGAGTTTACTTAGGCAGGATATATCAGGAACGGATAGAAAATTTTGAAAACTCAGGGATAATCGTCTTACATTACTGACAAGCGAAAATTCGAAGTTTTCGCTCGAACGTTTTTGATGTTGAATTTCATATTTTTTTCTCTCCCCTTGCTAACATGCGGAGAATGTTGGGAAAAACATAAGGGAAAAATGAGGAATTCCGTAAATTTGGAAAATAGCTCGGCACGGAATTCACAGATGAGCCAGTCAAATTCTACTTCTGACAAAATTTGCTGGTTTGAAGATGATTGGGAAGTATGTGTCCAATTAACGTCGACAAAAATGTTAAGTATCGTGGAAAATGTGACAAAATCCAAGAAGTTTTGAAATTTGCCTAAAATTGGATTTATTGTTAGCTCTGTTCCTCAATTAATTAAATTATATACGATGCATAGTTGTTTTTTTGTTTTAATGGTTGAAACGCGAGGAAGCATTGGAAAATTATAAAATTGCCATCTAAGACAAGTCTCTTTTTGCGGTTAAAAAACTCTGTTTTGTGTTATTCACATTATGAAACCACGAGAAGAAATCTTACAAGAAAATACACGTTAACTTTAAAAAATTCTATTATTTTCTATGTACAGAAAATTTCGCGCCAAAAGCTTTTTGATTATTATACCGGCTAGTGTTTCTGCATTCAGTCGGTTCATTCTTTCAGCCAACCTCCTGACCACCACAACCAGGGCTAGCAAATACGAGAAAGAATGAGGATAAAGGAGTATGAGATTCGTGCTATTCGTGCATGACTGTGTTTTTTGGCCTATCGTTTGAATTGAAGGAGCATGTACCAAACTCATTTTGGGAAGCTCATGGATCGCTAAAGTTCTTTCAATTTTTGATTCGGCACTTCTAAGAAGTTGCCTATTTCCACACCGATCTTTTGAAGTTATAAATTTGTAATTAATCCAATATTGTGGTGAAGTCTTTCACTCGTTGTATAATAGATGAGGTACTACTCGCACTTTTAGTGTATTTTCCGAAGGAAATATTTGTGACTTTAAATGTTGGTACGCGAAGGCGCTTTTGAAACCGGTCATGAAGAATTAGTAACTTAAGGAAAAACTCGAGGGAAGCTTGGGTTTTTACGTATGTGTGGGTTAATTCGTCCAGCTCTAGTACAGAAAAATGAATATTTCGAATGCACATGCTGAAATCTGTCATTTTGTCCAATGCTTCGGCAAATTATCAAGTAATTTTACTTGGATCAAAATTTTGCTTATTTTACTAATTTTGGACAAAATAATTATTTGCTCCATGTAGATAGGCATTATTTTCAAGACTTTGCATCACGGTATCAATGATTTATAGCCTGCATGAAATAAACATTTACTTTAAAAGATGCAGCAGTTTTTGAAATAAAGAGTTTGCACATTTTATATGGTTAAAAATAGAATACAATGACAGCTTGCAGTTTGATACATTTTTACCTCCAAACTATCGAAAACTTCGGAAGCTTTCGAAAGTTGACCATCTGCCGAGTTGATTATTTGCCTACAACGGATGCACATTGCAGCCTTTAGACGCGGTAAAGGCATTTTCTCCAACCAACTATGACGACCGCAAGTCGAAGTTTAAGGACGTCTGAAAAGTGGCACGTTTATGCGGTTGCATATAAGGCATTTTATTTGACTTTATTTTTAGACTTTTCCCATTTTAGAAGTGGACGAGACTCATTTGAAGACCCGTTATGGTCAAGCGAAAATAACTCTACAGCATACCAATTTAAGATGGATTGTTCTCGGTCACTGTCGGGAGGATTCAAAGATTCAATAGCTTTTTTTTTTCATTTCGCGCCGTCTGTCGTCACTTAAACATAGCCGTGCTAAGGAAAAACGCCGCATGAGCCTTCACGCGTTGCCAGATTTCCATTTTCAAAACACGAATTTCCTGGTAAACATATTAATATTTTTCTTCCAATTTTTCAGGTAATGTTGTTTGCAATTTCACCTCCAGATCCTGAAAATTTCAAGGAAAAATATTCATAACTTTCCTTAAAAAATAAACATTTTATTGAGGGAAATTTGGCAACTCTCGAATGTCCATACGACGTTCTTCCCTAGCACGCCAGAAGAAGCGTGAAATATATTTTCGCGCCAGATGAAGTTCATTTTTTTATTACAATAACGCCTTTGGTTGATAAAGTTAGTTTGGTTTCCACGAACCTCCGGCATTTGCAAAACATTTAATTATGCTGAACTGTCACTCCCTTGACAAACGTCCACGCAAAAATGTAAAAGGAACCCGTTGGCATGTTTACGATCGACATGACAGATTAATTATTTTGAATGAAACCCTTGAAGCCCTCGCAGGAAAAGTAAATAATTATGTAAAATGTTGCTGCGGGTTTTTTCTCCTTCTTTTAAAACTGTGAATAAAATCAAGTTTTGCTCCGCATTATTCGGTAAGAATTTTTTGAATCTCACTTATCTCCTTTAATTATCAGAGGAATTACTCCTAAAACATTACGGTTCCCTTGCGCGATGTAAAATGTTTGGTAGGTATGACATTTTACTTAAAACCCTCTGAATTTGCTTGAAACATCCAAATCCATTTATTTTCCTTAGGAACCTTTCTTTTGGCCCTATATTCACTCACTATTTGTTGCATAGAAACATTGAAAGTAGAAGATTTCACGTTAATACAGATAAAGGTCTGGTTTTGGTAAGAAAAACGATTGAGTTACAGACTCTTGAAGGTCTGTCGATTTACCCGAGCTTTAAAGCTTAACAAAAGTTGAACGAGACATCGAAATGAAAAAATTAAAATTTTCGTGTTTCAACTCAGCTTAGTAAACAGAAGGAGTGTGCCTTGGGTCATTCAATTCTGAAGGGATTGGGTCAAAAAGTGCCAATTTTTGGTCTGATTTAACATGACTTGACACCCTCAATCCCAAAATTAAAATATAAACTTTTCTTGCTGAGACGGTCCTTCCATTTTAACTTCATATTTCAATCCATACCTTGGATGCTTAAAAAAAAATCATCAACAACATCATACGACTCTTCAAAATTGGAAAGCTCGTCAAAACTAGGTAAATTATCATCGGCTCCCTTCCGTTAATTTCAATCCAATTCATCGTCTCGGATTAAAAGACATTAACCTCACAATAATACTGCAACTTTAAGAAAAAACGCCGTATGAACATTCAATAGTTGCCAAATTTCCGTCGACAAAATGTCCATTTTTGCGGAAAGTCATGCACATTTTTCCTTGAAATTTTCAGCTGTTTCAGATTAAATTGTGAACAAAATTGCCGGAAAAATTGGAAACAGAATATTGAGAATTTTCCCAGTAAATTCATTTTTTTATTGAAGGAAATGTGACATTGCCTGAACGTTAATATGGCGTTTTTCCTTAGCACAGCAGAATACCTCTCGAGAAAGCTTCGAGGGCCACTCGAAAGATAACTCACCGGCGCGGAGCCTCCTTTGTGATTTGCACGTCTCAAAACAAAACGATCCATCAGTCTGATTGTCGGTTGACCAACAATTTAACCGGTGATTAAAAGATGAGAGGTTCCCTGTCCTTTGCCGAGCAATTGCGTCACTAAATACTCCTCAGAGATCTTTGTTGCCCACACTGCTACGTCATCAGTGACTGATGTGTTCATTTGTGTATGGAACTTCACGCAAAAACTCGTTTGTACAAAGCTCAAGGACAAGTATTCGACTTTTTGGATGATGATCATGGTCGTTTCTACTCCGCAGCGAGCAGCTATGCTCTTTTGCAATCAGTGCAAATTGATTGTAATTGTACCAAATTCTGCAACAAGGAGCTACTATTTCTGACTTACACGAAAAACATCATATTCATGGGTTGTTTCTCTTTGCAGAATTGTAGATATAGGCGATTTTTTGGACGAGCAAAAAATTGTAGCTCCGTATTGGAGAATGCAGTCTAATTTAGAATGTCCTGTTTTAATAAGATTATTTTTCCTCACGATGACACGCTTTAAATAACAAATTAAAATGCAATCTAAGAGTGACTCATTTATTTCGTTGCTGAATTGTATGAGGACAGATTTACCTTCACTATAATTAAAAAATGATTGTAATGAGTATTTCATTCATTAT